AATTGTAAATGAGGATTAAGTTTTCCAGTTATAGCCGCCTAAGTATACATACAAATGTGAAAGTATGAAATCGATTATCATTTTTTTTTTTATTTCAATAAATTATTGGGGCGAAATCAAATTTATTTGTGTACTAAAATCCAATAACATCTCTTAAACCGATTAGAATTTTTCCAAACAGGCGCACAAAAGGCAAACAAACAAACTTAAACCACAGAAAATTTTCAAAAATATTATTAATTGTATTTAAATGAGCAATTATGTATATGTTCATAAATATACATGCAAACCTAGATAAATATATAAGAATATTTTAATGTTTTATTTGCATGCAACTTTTGTTTTTTTTTTGATTTTATATTGTATAATAGCTATGGCGTACAATATAAGGTCAAATATGCATAATTGAAAAAAAAAAATAAATTAAAATAATAGATTATATAACAGTCTTGCATTAATATTTTATTGAGAATGAGCTTTTATAGGAAGTGCAACAATTGTAATTATCTATGGAATATTAACACATTTATACAGACAATATGTATGTAGAAACTTGTATATACATAGGGGATTTTCGCTTATGCACGCTGCGCTGAAAGTTCTAAATTAGAACTAAAATTTCTAAATCGCAGCGTTAAACAGTATGGAAAAATTATTGCTCAGTTTTTTTTGTTTACGTAGTCTACAAATTCTGAAATTCGTAAATAACAGAAATGACATTGTTTACGAAATTGTATCCCAATACTTTTAATTAAAGATTCAATATGCGTTTTGAAAATTTAAATTTTTTTTGGAATTTTAAATTTAAAAAAAAAAAAAAAAATTTCATGAGGTAGCGACAAAATTGAAACAAGAGGTCTGCCCTACATATCTGACATTTCTTTATTACAGATTCAATTTCCGAACGCACATTATTACAGCCATTATTTACAGTAACGTGAATTTTCGAAAGTACTACAAGCTAGAACTATTCTAGAACTGAATAAACGAAAACCCCCATATATTTTACATAAAATTCTTATTCTTTACATAAAATTCTTCATATTTTACTATTCTTTAAATGGTTTATTGAAATTTTTTATAATATATGAATCAATATATTATGTGCATTAATATAGATTCAGTTAATCATCATACAAACATTTACGAACAAAGTACTCGTAATAAAAAAAATGTACTATAAGAAACGGTAACTGGTACTGAAATTTTATTTGACTTGACCTACATATATTTATTTGAAAATTTGAAATAGAACGAAGTACAGTGATTGTGTGCATTTCATGTTCCTTCATATATACATATGTATATTATAATAACAAATAGCTCACAAAACCACTTGTATCTCAGCTGAAACTTTAAAATTATCTTAAAATAAAAATGTTGGCTGCTGTATATACATTTAAGGTCAAAAACTAGTAAAATAACATATGACCAATATCTTTTATTTTAATTGAGAAAAATATCATATTATTGCCAATATGAAATAAAATTATTAGTCAAATTTTGGAAAATACCAAATATGCATATACCTTAGTTACACACACACAGGTGTAAAATACCTACATATAGTAATGTACGTTTTATTTCTTCTATAATACGAGTATTTGGCTCAATTCAATAAATAACTTTCCTTAAAAAAAAAAAAAAAAAATTTCAAATAATTATAAAACTTCCTTGTCTTTTTAATGCTTCAATGGACGGCCTTTAAACAACATAATGCTAATTGTTATTAAAATTTTATATTTTACTAAAAATTCAGTTCACATTTTATGGTCTAAAACCAAAAACTATTTAATTTTTTTTTTTATATTTTTTAACCAAATTCAATTGAAATTATTTTAATTTTAATTTTTGTGTATTACAATTATTATTATTTGTTATTATTTGATTGGGATTACAAAGCTTATTCACTTCAATGAATAATGGTAAGTTTTTAATGAATAATACAAAAAAAAACAACTAACATAGTAAGCTATAATAAAGTAGAACCAATTATTTATTATATTCTATAATATACATATATATATACATATACATTTATAATATAAAATTTTTCATATATATGTAGGTACTTACTCTGCTATTAAATTTGCCCCCTTTGTATTTACTATATTGCTAAAAATTAAACTTAAATACATTTCATAAAACAATAAATACAATAAAAATATTATAAGCTACAACACGAAATTCAACGATTTAAACCTTAGGTCAATTACACAAATACCTTAAAAACCAAAACAACAACAAAAATAAAAGAAAAACTAAAATATTTGATGTATTTTTTATTTGTACTTACATTTTTACTGTTTATAAACTTTTTTAAAGTAGAAAAATTATATTATGTGAATGAATACTTCAGGTGCTACTCCACTACATCTTTGCACATAAACAAACACACACATAAACACAAATTTTTTAACAAAATAATAAAAAACTGGTCATTAAAGTTAAAAAGTAAAGTTGTTACCATTAAATACCAGTTATAACAATATTGTGTTTTTTTTTTGTTTTATTTTCATACATACATACATATGTACATATTTTGTAATTTAAATGCATTACAATTGGAAATGTTTGAGTACATACCCACATATATTCTTGCTTACATATTTTCAAAGGTGTATTACTTTTATTTATATCAATTGTTTGGTTTTTGGATTTTCTTTAAATTTTCCTTATATAAGAACCAAACAATTTGAATAAAACAAGAGCTTTAAATAACACAAACATAAATGACAATATATAACTACTATTTTCGTACATATGTATATGTATTAGTTATTAAAGTATAGAAACATTTTGTAGAGTTGTCATATCGGCGGTATTGTGGTAAGAGTGACGAAACTGCTTTTTTAAGAATTTTTGAGTTACATATATGTATATACAGAAAAATTTAAAATTTTCTAAACTATGTAAACTATCTTATAACTATGTAAATTTTACACGTATCTGCAAATTTGTGTTAATGTGTATATTTTCAAATGCGTTTCTCTTGAAACACAAAAAAAAGCAGTTACTTGACTCTTCCATAAAGCCGACGACATGTAATATAAAATTTTAAATATAAAGGCTTCCATTTTTTGATATTTAACACGTTCCCTGTCCCAGTACAAAAATGCAAAATTGACAAACAAATCCAAGAGGTTTTTTTGAATAATTTGTTTTGTTGTATTCATAGGATAGCACGTCCAGTGCAGAAACTGTACAGTTCCGGTACGTCCAGTCGAATAATTTGCTTTAGAAGTTTCATATACCCTCTGACGCACATATGGCTCAGGAACGTATCAGTGCTTATCAAGCGCACGTTTCCTGAACCATATGTGCCTCAGCGGACAGGGAACGTGTTAAATGAATTTTTAATTTATACAATAAATACGTATATATGTATGTGTAATAAAAAAGTGTAATAAGTATAAATAAGTAGCAATTTACTTGTCTTTTAATAAATGATCTTTTTAATAAATAGTCTTTGATTTAACAACTTTTTATTTGCTTGAAGGTGTTATTTTTTGCTATTCCCATAATTAATTTGTTAAGAACTTAACTATTAAAATAAATTCAATAACAACAACACATTAAAATTTAATTAATAAAATATGAAAAATATTATAAGAACTTATTATACAATTATACAAGCATAAGAATTATACAAGCATATGTATTAGCATTGATTAACGATTTATAAATAATGTTAAATTTATTCTCATTAATTGTTAATCTGTGATATTAGGTACCCTATTAAATACTTATTCAAAAATATGTGTTTACCACAGCTTATATTTTCAAGAAATGGTGCTGTAGGAATAGGAACATAATATGTAATAAGAATTCCTGTAGTTTTCTGTGATTTTTAAAATTTTACTACTGGTATATAAAATATTCTCAGCCAACTTGATAAATTTATTTTCAATATAATTATCAAGAAATGTCTTAAATATCTACATATATTGATTTATTAATAACTATTATATTTATAATTACTCTGTTTTTAACACACTTAATTGCATAGATCTTTGCTTAATTGTTTGAATAGAAAACAAAAATCACTAGGTATAAAGTTCCTACTCTTCATTATCGTCAATAATTTTACATACATGTGTTGCTGATTTTTGTAATTGAGTTTCTTTGTTGTCACAACAAATATAATAATTTTAAAACAGTTACATAATTTGCAACAAATTATGAAATAATTAAACGTCATATTGTTGAAATCATCATACAAATGTCAAATTGTTGACAACACTATGAAAAGTACCTAAATCAATATCAAATCCAAATTATCAAAATTTTTGTACAAAAAATCTTGACTGTTCGTTAACCCTATTTTACACGTGTTATTTACATCTACATTCTTTTTTTTGTTTTTTTTTTTATAAATTCTTAAATACCTACATTTTTTTTTTAAATTTTAAGATCTCGTTTCTACACATTATTTTATTTGCAAAAAAGGGAGAAAAAATAAAACATTGGAAAGTGAGACTGAACAAATAGAGTTTAGCTTTTTTCTTTGTTTATTTACTATACCTATATATTGTTATGTATGTATGTATAAAAATAAAATAATGTTTTATTATTATAATTTTTTTCTTATTTTGTATTTTTAAATGAATCAAACGAGAATTTGTATATGATCCAGAGTTTTACAATTTACCTGCCTGCATCCAATTCCAGTTTTAAACAACATCTTGAACGTTGAACATCGCTTTTAATATTTTTGAGTATAAAAGCTGCATTATACATATGTATATGGAATTGTACTTTGTTAAATATTATATCTTATCGCGTTCGTTACGGAATTTTATAAATTTGTTTTTCTTTAGTTAATTAAATATGTATACATACGTTTGTACCTATTTCAATGCTATATCAAAGTATCTGAACATATAATAATAATATATATAGTAGACTGTTATACCTATGTATGTATGTATATATATGCATATGGAGTTAAATAAATTCAAATATTTTCTCTCTCTCTCTCTATAATTTTAGAGATTCTCTTTTAAATAGTGAATCATCACAAGCTTTTAAATTAGAATAGTATCAACTAAAAAACCATTATTAACGTTTTGAAATTTATTCAAGATATACAATTAACTTTATAGTTAGTAGAACTCTTTAACTTCTATAGTATATAAATTAAAATTTTAATTAACAAGAGGATGAAAAAATAATTAAGAAAGTGATAAAATATCAAAATTTTTATTAATTATAAATAAAAAGTGAAAAAAAAATTTTTTCAAAAAAAATTTCATTTAAAAAATGAGTGTACGAGTATTAAATTTGAAAGTGTATCGCAAGCAAATATTGGTACAGAATCAACAATAAAATAAGATAAAATTTCGCATCATATGAAACTGAATCTTAAAATTTTCATAGCTACGTAACAAACTTAAATTATTTTTATATAAAATGAGCATCTATTAGTGGATACATATTTCATTTATTATATAAGTATATAAATAATATGGAATTTATTTAATATTTAAAAAATTAATAAATAAAGACTGTGTTTATTATACAGAAAATTAAAAATATTTAGAAAATAATGAATGTGATATTAAAAATAGAATGAAATTAATACAAAATTAAATACAAAATTGCTTAGAAATTTTACTGGAAACAAGAAAAAAGGAAAAAATGGCATCAAGATCTCAATTAAATTCAATGATTTTTAAAATGGTATGTTTTCTATGTACAATTTCGTTAAATTTTTATTAAAATTTATTTATATAATAATAATATATGCATACTATATATAAATATGGACTTGAATATTTGCTATGGCTACAATAAAAATTTCAACCATACCAACCGAATATCATCACCTGTTGAAATCACAATAAAAAATCTTTAATTTCTTATGCAGGTATAGACAGGCATAAATATCTAAGAAATTGTTTACATAATTAAAATCGTGATCGGACTTACCCCTTATTGTGTGGTACTAATACATTATAATATGTGCATAGTTTCTCTATGTATAGATACATTAAAATTAAACTGTAATTTTAATATAAATTATTCAAATTGGCGCAAATAAAAAACTTGATTTTTTGCATTCATGTTATTAGAATTTAATTTTATTGAGAATATTTTTTTTTCTTCATAATACAACAGAAATAAACAGAACTTAAATATGAATCGTAAATTTATTTTTATTAATATTGTAACGTTATCGATCAAGTTCGAAAAAATATAATTTCAAATGCAAACAAGGAATTACACATGCACTTATTTACATATACATATGCATATGTACGTAAATTAGAAAAATTAGATTCTTGTACTCGTACCAATTGAAATAGAATTTAACGAATTGCATAACTACATATGTATGTATATTAGATAAACCTACATAATATTATATTAAATGGAGATACTTGCGTATACAAACATATATAATGCATTTTATTTAAATATATGTACATACATAATTGAAATCATGATTTGAAGAGGCCGATTTTACTATAGTTACAACAGTACTTTGCAGTTACCTTAAAAGGTTCTTAAAATGTCCTCTAATTAAAAGAAAAACTCAATATTAAAATAAATATTGAGTTATTTTGTTTCCCTTATTAAAACCCAAATTTATTTTCAAATTATAACTAATACTGATTTTTACAAAATACGAGTATTACATATGATGTAAAAATTATGTATACAATTGAAAAATTCATTATTTTAATTTTACAAATAAGGAAAATATTTTTATTCTTACATAATAATACTCACCTTTTGTTTTATTAGCTCGTCAGTCACCTTCTTAATTAATATTAAATTACAAATATACATCCAATAATACAAGTACTATGTAAACATTGAATTTATGTAATGAAATATAGATACGAAAATGCAGTATTTATGTTTCTAGATATAATATACAAGATATGTAAATGCAAGGTCTAATAAATGAGCAGCATTATAAGTGTACACACATGTTTATTCATACATAATGTACAACAAAAGAAACAAAACAAATTTTGTAATGTTTCGTTATTATTTGGAAAAAAAAATATGTAAAAGTATTTCCTATATTTGGTTGAAGTATGAGTAATACAAAGGTAACAAAAGAAAAAAATTCTATTTTTCTGAGTAAAATAAAAAATATATTAATGAATCACATTAAAAGTAATGAGGATTCAGCTTAAAAAAATTTATTTAATCAATCAACAGTCTAATAGAAAAAAAAACTATGTTTCTCAATTCTTGATCCCTTTGCGGCTGCTTATTTCAATTCAATTACTACAATAATTGTGTGTACATGTGTTACTTTTTTTCTTTTCAATATCATAATATTATGTGAACTCACGTAAACAACTTTTTCTACTTATGTAAACAAAAACGCTACAGAAAAAACATTAATAAAACACAAATGATTACGTTTAATAAATGTTAATTGGATAATCAAAAGTAGAAGAAATATTTATAAAAATCTCAGGCAATTACTCGTATTACCAATTTTTTGATCCAAAAATATTTTTATAAAATCTTTAGAATCCGTAAATATTAAATATGTATATATATGTATACTCGTAATACATGATTTCTAATAAAGAGTTCTAACTTTCAGATTCAAATAACAAAAAAAATTATTTTGTGTCAACAGGTATGGATTTTGTTTGGTGGTGAAAATAGAAGGCCATCCAAATTTTTATAAAACAAAATCCATGGTAATGTTTGATGTTTAAACGTTGTGTAGTGAGCATAATTTTCAAATGTATCAAAATAGTTCACAGAATGTTACAAAAAATGCAATAATATAGCAATATGTATAGAAAATGCTTTTCAGAACATTTTCACGTAATGATGTATACATTGTTAATGTGTACGTAAAATTTACATATGTACATTTTTAATTAAATAAGTATTTACTTCATTAAAGAACCTAAACAAACTAAAAATTTTTATTAAAAAATTAAGTCGTTTCCAACATGTTCTGGAAAATGGCTCACAGTATTAACATTATATTTAGGCCAGATTTTTTTTTAAATAGAAAACAAAAATTATTTTTACTAAAAATTTTTATATTTTTATTTTCATTCAAAACATAACTATCTAAATAAAATCGTGATATTAACGTTATCAATCCCAATATTGTTGATAAAAAATATTCAACTGATAAGATTCGTAAACTTTATAGACTTATTTTAGTGTGTACACTTTATTTGTGTTCTCACTATAAAACGCAAATAAAGTGCTTTTATTGCAAATAAAATTATTAATCGTGTTGATTAATTATTTTTAAAATTAAAAAAAAATGAATTCCCATATTAAAAAAGTAAGTTTGAAAATAAAGATTTTTATATTTCCACTCATTATAAAAATAAAATATAAATATAGATCTATATAATAAAGGTTAATAGAAAAATTAAAAAATTACTCATATTTTCAAATATAATATGGTTTCAGTCTATAAAAAAAAAAGAAATTCCAAAAATAATTTTAAATGTTTAGTTTAAAAAATATTTTTTTAAGTGAAAGGTGTAAAATTTTCAAATTTTATGCGGCTGAATTTTCATCTCACAAAAATGTTTAAAGTGCTACTTTAAATTTTGAAATGTTTATTTAAATTTTCCAATTCGAAAATTATAAAAATCAATAAAAAATTTGTAATTAATTAATTTAAATATTTATTAAATTTTATTCTATGAAAATATTTGTATGATGAAAATAAAGTGTTGTGTAAGGGTGCGTATTTGGTCTAAAATAAATAGAAGTAATACTTTTGCATTGAATTTTAAAACGTACGTTCTACTTCTACAAATTGTATAACGACCATATAAACTTAAAGTACTTAATACAATATTTTTTGTTATCAAAAATCTTTTACAGTTGATAATAAAAGTTAAAAACAAATGTTTACACAAATGAAAAAAGAAAATAAAAATTTTTCCTGAATAGAATAACCACCTGTGTATATGACATTAATATTGTCGATATTTTACATATTTTGTGGCAAAAATAAAAAAAAATAGGAATTGATTACTCACCATCATTTTTTTTTGCCTCGAAAAATTAGTTTTTATTAAATTGTCTAATACTTCACAACGTCTGTGAAAAGTGCACTGAAAAATCTAGCTGAAAATTTATTTAAAAATCATTTTTACATTACACGAATATTATTTGCAAATTTTGCATAAATATATAATTTTCATAAATTTTTTAACAATAAGCTTAAGAAATATGGTAACTAGTACTCTAATTATTTATAAATTTATAATTTTAAATAAAAAAAAAATTATCGTATTTAAAAAAAAATAATTGCAAAAAAAAGATTTCAACTTTTAATTGGAGATGCCGGGGTTTGAACCCGGGACTTCTCACATGCGAAGCGAGCGCTCTACCACTGAGCTACATCCCCTTCATTATAATTTAGTCCACTGTTGCTATATTAAATTCTCTAAATTTATTTTTGGACACAAACCATTTTATTTATTATAAATTTCTTTTCAATGATGACAGTGCCACACTTATCTTGGTGTTCAATTTCTGTATTTCAATGAAATAAAAAAATTTTGTCTTCATACATTTTTGTAATTTAAATTATTGTACTTTCAATTGATTCAAACAGTATCAATTTGCAATAATCAGGCTAAAATTATAAAATTGTAAATATGGATGAATGCAAGATTTAAATAAAAACTAAAATAAAAGTGTATGCACATAAATTAGACATTATTTTTGTAATGTCTCTCTTTTGAATTAACTTTATCAGAAGAGATTTTTATAGATTATAGGTTAACGAGCACGTAACATTGAAAAGAGGAAAACATTAAAGAGTGAGAGTCAATTTAACAGCTTATTACCAAAAAAGGAAAACCATGTAAAAATTTATTTGTTTAATTTGCAGTCACACGACTTAAGTACGCTGGGTTAGTTAAATAGTATCATCATACAAAACGACAAAGTAATAAGTGCGAAGAAACTATAATTTGTATAATGACTCCGACCTATGTACTTACAAATTTTAAGCCTATTCCAAAAATTTTACTTCGTATTAGAGCACTTGCCATAGCAAATGCGAAAAAATGCATATTTATATATATTTGCTTATTCATATAACTTTTTTTATATAATTTAATTTTTATTTCGTTTTGCATTATAGCAAGTTACTACGGCATTGCTATTACTATTGATAACATTTAGTTTAGCATTAGCCCAACATGAGGAAATTCCATATGCTGAAGTTGAAAATATTTGTATAACATGTTCATGCCAAAATTTCACTAACACAAAAATTCTAAACTGCCATGATAGAAGTTTAAAGCATATTTTAGCAAGATGGCCAGAACAATTTGGTACCAATCACACAGGAATCGAAATACATGCTACATTTTCAAAAAATGACATTGAAATTTTGCAACAATTGCCAGCCACAGATGGAATACTATATTTTAGTGCGAGAAGATGGTAATTTTTTTATTACATATTTTAATTACTGTATTAAAAGTAATAACTTACAATTAATTTAAATATTCACAATTTCTCATTCTAGTAAAATTCAAAAATTGCAATCAAAAATCTTTATTGATTCGCCAAATATATTCAGACTTGATTTAAGTTTTAATCAACTAACTGAAGAAGCTTTAACACCAGATGTTTTTAAAGGGCCATATAATGAACATGAATATGAATCAATTAAACTTAAAGAACTAGATTTAAGTTATAATTATATAAGAGATTTAGATTCAAAGTTATTCGAACATATTAATCAATTATCAGTACTTAATTTGGCACACAATAGGTTTAGTAAATTTGATGATGGTGCTGCTGAAGCAATTGGTTGCTTAAAATATTTGGAGGTAAAAAATTATATTATTAAAATATGTACATTTTGATATAATTTGAAAAAAAAATTTCCGTCCACAGGTTTTAGATATATCTTTTAATCACATAAAGATTCTACCCGACAATATATTCCAAAACTTAAATCTACATAATTTGAACTTAAAAAATAATAATTTCACATCGATTCCCAATTCTCTGAATATGGCGCACAACTCATTAGAGTCATTGGATATTTCTTACAATCCAATTGAAAAAATTCATACAGATGATTTTAACAATTTTAATAATTTAAAATATTTAAACATGAGCGATATGATGACTTTAAAGAAAATTGAAGTTGGAACATTTTCGGTATTAACAAAATTAGAAGAATTACACTGCAAGAACAACTTCTACTTAACAAGTATACATTTACCAACGGAATCGAAGTTTTTGAAAATAGTAATTTTATAGTGAAAATTCAATCTTTATAAAAAATTATTTATTTAATTATTTTAATTTTTGTCTAACATTTTCTTTTTATGTTTTTTTTAGTTGGATATTTCAAATGGAAATTTAAATTCGATAGTATTAGAGGTGGACTTGTTACATAATGCATCTAAAAACGGAACATTAAACTTCTGGCCTTATATTAAAACTATTATTTTAGCTGAAAATCCATGGAATTGCGATTGCACACTAGCAGAGATACTAAAACAATTTAAAAATATTACAATCGAAAAAGATGATTTATCAAGATGTTCATCACCTATTGAGTTAACTGGAACAAAATTAAGTGATTTAAATGCAGTTGAAATTTGTAATGGTCAACATAAAAATCGGTTCATTATAGAAGATCCTAGTTCATCGTATACTCCATATGTTTTAAGAGCAAAGCATGTAGTTTACATTTTAATTACTATAGGTTTAGTTATTTTAAGTGGTATTATAGTTGGTTTTGGTTTAAGTTATGGTCGTAGAAGACTAAAAAGTGATGTCATTCGTTTAAAAAGTAGCCCTATAAGATACATATCTGTAAGAAATTCTTCTTAGCTTTAGTAAATAAAAAAAAAACACATTACAGTTATATTAAAACATAACGCAAAAGCATACATACATACAAAAATTTACATTTATGTTAATTTCATAAACATAAACTCTTGCCAAAACCAAAGACTTCTTAGAAATAAGCTACTACATGCATATATGTACATTTTGTCATAATGAAATATCCTTTAATTTTTACATAAAATTAGATTATGATATTAGTAATATTATGTACATATATATATATCAATATGTAATAAAATATATTATAATTAATATAAAACGAGGAACAAATTATATTTATCAAGCTTTAAATAAATCTTTTTTTTTTAATTGGTATGAAAAGAAAATTTCCCTTTATTCGGAATAAAATACTTTTTTTATTTTTTGCTAATATATTTCGTGCGCTACATACGCACTTTATCAAAGCTGATTTTCTTCTCAATATTCTTTAAATAAATTTTTACATCATATGTAGGTACGTACTTATAATGCAATAATTGTTTATATGTTTTTATTTTTATTTTTTTAAATAAAAAATAGGCCATAAAAGCAGCATATCGCAATATACAGTGAAAACTGTGCTATACATATTTATATTAAAAGGCAAATATTGCTATGTTTGTTGAAAAAAATTGCTAATTTTTCGCAATGTAACCATATGTATGTGTATGGCAATTGAATCATAGAAAGAACTGGTTTGATTTTTTAAAAGATATGCTTTTGCGGTATTGCGTTTTGCAGTTCTTGTCTTGCAAGACTGCGTTTATGAAAGTCTCTATAATTTTAAATACATATTTAAGATATTTATATAATTTTTATAAAATACGTTTACATATGCGCATACATATGTTTAAAATTTAGAAATTTATTGTAGATATATAAAATTGTGTATGACAAAAACCAAAACAATTTTTTGCTGATGCGATGCTGCGGATGTTTTCTTACTTTCAACTTCTTTCGCTGTCCTGTTAATGTTCTATTCACATTAAAAATAACATGTTAACATGTTATGAAAAATAGTTCACTTCAAATTTTATATGAGGATTTGTAAAAATAAAATTTTTTTTTTAATTTTTTTCTCAAATGCAAGAAATTTCTCAAGAAAATGTTTATATTCAGCAATTTAATGTCAAAATAAAAACTGACATCAGTCGCTTTGTTATTTCTTAAAACCAATTTTAGCAAAAAAAAATTCAAAACTGATAATTGAAAAAATTAATTGAAAATTGAAAAAAAATTTTTTTACCAGAAAATTGAATAATCTGAATTTAGTTTGAAATTTGCCCTGTTGACATCAAATATTTCAAAATTTTTAAAATTAAAAATTGAATTAACCGGTTAACCAACAAACTTACAACAAGGTTTTTTTTTAAATATTTTGAACAAGCCCTCTTTTCGAATAGATTTCTTCCCGATGACGTCAAATTTTCAAACGTTAATACTACCCAGAAAATCTTGTAAATAATTGTTAGATTAATCGTAATTCGTAATTGCACCAGGACACCTATATTAGATATTATATTTTCTTATTTTTATTGATTGTTGAAAATTTGGTTCACCAAAACTACTTTCAAATTGAATTTATATACTATTGGCCTTGGAAAAAACATTAATAAATATTCATATTTCGAAAATATTATTAATAAAATGGTTCCTTAATGAGATAGAATTGGATTTTACCTAATAATCGCTTATAAAACATATTTTTTCCACTTATAATTATTATATAATTTTTTGACAACGTCAATTGATGTCAATTAAACGTCAATTGAGTAAGAAAATTCCCGTCTATTAAAATAAAGGCTTTACCGCATATTACGTTATAGGGGTTTTATAGTAATATTACTTTGTATCAGAGAGTATTTCTACAAGCACAATTATTTCCAGTATAGCAATGATTGTGTAGGAACGTTACGATTGCCAAATATGCCTATTCTTTTTCATTTTTATTAAAAATCTTTGAAATGTTTATTATGGTATTGAAATGAATTAATGAAAAATTATGCTTTCAATTTTAACCAGGGCATTATTTAAATAACTACATAAATATTTGTCAGCTGGAAAACTTTGAAAAAATTGTTTTCTCTGTCACTGGCAGCACCAGCAACTGTAGTATGAGTGTTTTTTCCATGTAGTAAAGTAGTAATAAATTAAGAAATTTACTTTTAAATATTTAAGTGAAAATAAAATTTAATTTTTTAATTCGTCACGTACTACATGTTTCTGTTATCTTTTTAAAATAATGAAAATTGTGCATTTACAACGAAATTATAATGTTATAGTAAAAAATAAAATCAATTAAATTTCGGTTTTGACGTCTCAGGGATTTTTCTACTTTCACACATAAAACCCGATACGCGATATATCAAAAAAAAATTATACGAGATTAGTCACCCACCATATTTGTTAAGAAAATAAAAAAAAATCTTAAAAATTTTATCAAAATAAGATATTAATTATAATTTAAGCACAACTTATAAATTAAAAAAAAAAGTTATCAACGCATAATAGTCATTAATGAATAAAATTAATAAATATCTGTATGTATGTATATATATGCATATACATGTATAAATTTAGAGCTTTATAATTTAAAATATTAGAATAAAAATCTAGTTCGTAAGAAAAAATAATTTTCAATGCCATATTTAGTATAAATAAGAATTTTGCTATTAATTACGGCTAAAAAATTAAGAAAAAAAAAAGTTGATAAAATTTTTCTATATCATAAGATTTCGTGCAATTTTTAAATGCGCTTTTATGTGATTTTTTGCCAAGCTATTAAATTTCAAATTCAATAAGAAAATTATAAATACTAGAAAAACTAAAAACCAAAAGGAAAATACGATAAAGATATGAGTCGACGTAGTCGAACTTCATTATTTAGTGGTCCGAGTGGGTTTTCATTGCGGAGATTAATTTTGCAAGGTTAGTAAATTTTTTCATAAATTTATTAAATAATTTTTATAGAGATATTTTAAGAGGTAATGACTTTTGTTTTTTAAGAGGTAATGATGAAAGTTAGGTTCTGTAATACATATTATTTAACAAATGTTATACATAATATATGAATGCAAAATAATATGTAAAAATTCAATATTATTAAATTCTTGTCATGTATGTACCTATATTTGCTTATAAAATCATGTATGTTTGTACTTATATAGGCTGGTAATAGCTAGTGTCTACCTGGGTATAAAGGAAGGTAAATAGGTATACCTACCATCCAGCTAGTATATGTTTTTTTTTTTAAATTAATAAAATTATATTTTCAAGTTAAATTTTTAATAATTTCCGATTTATTTTTTTTCAATATAATCTTATTTTGTTAAAAGAAATTATTTAGGGCTATTTATTATTAATCTAATATATTAAACCAAATTTATTTTTGATATTATTTTAAGGCTTATATTTTTTATGTACCTATGTATTTCAGGTGCAAGAGCTGCCCGCGGAAGTCCTACACTTGGTCAAAGATGCGATATAGAACGTGGTATTACATCAAATTCTAATAGCAAACATGACAAAAAACATGGGGAAGGCACTAGCACCAGCTATGGAAATAAGGTAATAAAGTGACAATATTTTAAGATAATATAACTAATATTTGATACTTAAAACTATAAGGCACATTTCGCAATTAAAAGTTCCACCAATTATCAACTTATTTTTAAAATATTTTAACGAAAAAAAAAGTGTTAGAAATTTTACTTCAAAACACTATTTCTTTAATAGAACATAATATTATACTTTTTATTTTTTCAAATGCTTACGTTTCCTTATTTGACTTTTAAGATTAAATTTCAATGATAAATTTTAATAGAAGAAAATACTAAAACAATAACACATAGTTCTAGCACTCTCTATAATGTAGGTACCTATTAAAAATAATTTCTGAAAGGGGTTTGTGTTATTTACGCATATACAAAACTCAATTCTTTAATAAGTAAGTGCTTTTTATATTTCCTTATCACAAATTGCCTCTAATAATTTATTTTATATGTATTTGTTCTGGGTTTTCTTTATTATCTTATACTACCTCATACCCAATATATATTTAAAAGGTAAAATGTAAAAAAAAATCGAAAAAAAGCAAAGATTTCTGAATGATTTCTACTCAATAAACATTAATCTTTTTTAAATATACGTGTATCTATATGAGTATTACAAAAATTTTAATATATGTTACGAGTATGTAGTATTTCATATTTAAATTTCTTTTTTCGTATTTTGCTTTATAAAATTTTGCTCCAATATTTGTGTTTTAGACATCGAATGGCGAAAACGCATCGACATCACGACAGAATGCCAACAACGGCCTACAACAACAAAATAGTATACAAAGTGATGATTGTTCATTCCCTTTGGGTACTGCGCCGAACAATTCGAAAGCAGCTTCTATTAGTTCACCGCAGAGAAGTGATTCAACTGGTGATAATAATTTTTATTGTCAAATTTGTTACAACACTCCTACACCACCAAACGCATTTTATACTTTATTTACTTGTAAACATACAGCTTGTCGGAATTGCTTAGAAAGATATTTAAAAAATGAGATTAATGAATCTAGGACTGATATTGGTAGATATTTTCAAAAATGTAAAATTAAAAATTGTTAATTAAGACTCTTCAATTAAATTATAGCGTGCCCACAGTGCTCAGAGGCGATGCATCCAAGTGATATAGAAACATTATTAAAAAATTATTCGGATGTAATAACTAAATATGAGGATTTTATGGTTAGACGTTTTTTATTAACCGACCCAGATTCAAGATGGTGTCCAGCGCCAGATTGCAGGTAAAATGATTTTATATCGCATAAAATAAATTTCAATAAACGATCAATTAAAAAAATGATTCATTGAGCAGTTTCGCTATTATTGCTACTGGATGTGCATCATGCCCTCGTATTCGATGCCAAAGACCTGGTTGTGGTTTGCATTTTTGTTACCATTGCAAAGCTGAGTGGCACCCGGATCAAACATGTGACGCAGCTCGTGCTTCAAGACAAAGCCCATCAGCCCAGCTCCCAACTGGCAAAATAATTAGCCCTGATATTCAACATCGTAATGGAGACGATATTAAACCTTGTCCTAGATGTCAAGTTTTAATTGTTAAAATGGATGACGGAACTTGTAATCATATGGTTTGCTCAATTTGTGGATCAGAATTCTGTTGGTTATGCATGAAAGAGATTAGTGATTTGCATTACTTAAGGTAATAGATTTAAAAAAGTTATAAAAATTCTTTAAATAATCTGGCTATTCTTGTTTTATTAAGTCCTTCGGGATGTACATTTTGGGGTAAAAAACCGTGGTCTCGAAAGAAGAAACTTATGTGGCAACTGGGAACACTCGTCGGTGCACCTTTAGGTATAGCTTTAGTAGCTGGTATAGCCGTTCCTGCAATGATTATTGGTAAAAATGCACCGATGAAACAATATTAAAATTATGTTAAATTTTAATGTTTTTTTAGGTATTCCTGTTTGGGTTGGAAAAAAGATTTTTACTCGGTATAAATCTTCGACCAAGCACAGACGAAATTGCGCTGTTGTTGGTGGAGTTTTAGCCTCAGTAAATATAACAAAAAAAATTTCTTTCTTAAATGGGTTTGATAAAGTATTGCTTCTTTTAGATATTCGTTTCCCCTATCTTAGCTGGCCTGGCGGTTGCTATCGGTGTTCCAATTTTGCTTTTCTATGTTTATGGCGTTGTTCCAGTATCATTGTGTCGGGCTGGTTGTGGAGTTTCAACTACTAGAGATGGTTTCAAATTTGATTTTGATGAGGAAGAAGAGGAAAATAACACGAGAAATCAAAGTGACGGAGCAAGTGTTGATGCAGTATCACGTATAGGTGGTACGAGCATTGGTGAAGTTAGTCTTAGCGTTGCAAGTGGTAGTCATATTGTAGGTGTTTCTAATAAAGGAGACGGTCCCCAGTTTAGTGTTGCACAATCATTATCTTCAAAAAATGAATCAACTACAGCATTGGCAGGTAGCATAACTGGACATCGATTGGAAGTTCAAGCTGACGTTAGTTTATCCGAGACCGCTTCAGCCGTTACATGCATCAGTGAAAAATCGGGAAATATTTCAAATGATACGGCTTCAACAAAAGCATTGGCTGGTTCAATTTTGAGCTATAGACAAGTAAAAATTTTAACATATAACAACTATAAACAGTTTTAAACAATTTTATATTAATAATTCTAGCAAACAAATGATTATTCGAACGTAAGCGAAGATGGAATATCCGAAAGAAATCGCGTTTTAGACGTTGCTGTAACAGACCAGGTAATTACATAATTTTATTTTAAATTGATTAAAAAAAATGTTTTTGGTTTTTTAAGGATTCTCAGGTTGACAAGGCTAGTGTTGGAAGTTGCCGTTCCTTCCGTAGCTCTGAAAAATCTTTTCGCGATGATATGGATTCCACAGCATCATCTGTTAAAAGGCTGCAATTTTGTGCCAGGCATACAAAACCAAATCCAGTTGCTTTTCGTACTATGTCCTTAGATAGTAATAACGGTACTAATTATATACCAGAAAATGTCAAATTAGAAAAACAGGCTGAGGAAGAAGAATGTAGTGATAATAATAATATGACTGATATAAAACCTGAGAGCACAATTTTAATTAATAGAGAATATGTTGGAGATAAACCAATTATTGGTACATTAATTCGAGAAATTCACTTTGTTGAAGGAACTATTTATAAAGGAAAATATCCAAATGTGAATAACAGTGTTGGAAACATAGCTAATTACAATAATAATAATGAAATTTCGTCTTCCTATTCCAAATCAGTTCCGTCAACAATGAACGCTGCTACATCGACGTCAGCGAACACGACACCAACCAATTCACCAAATATTTCACCTACAGCTGTTTCCCCTGATACAATTATCACTAATTTGTCTTCTCAAAACATTAATCATAATAGTCCTGATGGAAAAAATAATCCATCAAAAGCATCGATATTAAGAAATTTATTTTTTGCTCAAAAAAATGACAATATTCTTACGCAACCAAGTGATAATTCAAAGAATTCTGAAAGTGATAACCATGATGTTTTGAAAAAATCATAAGAAATAAGATAAGCGGAAAAAATTATTTTGAAACAAAGTAATTTCATATATATATATATTAGAATTTTATAAAATTAGAGATTAATATTTTTTTCTGCTTATGTTTTCGACATTTTTTTTTTAATGTCGAAACTTTAGTTTTCCAATATTTGATTCGAAATTTTAAATATTTTCTACTTTCAAAGTAATCCAAAATAAGTAAACAAGTACAGTTGCAAAAGTTTTTGAAATATAAATCTGAACAATATTAATATAAAATTAAAATAATAAATTAGCTTACATACATTTTACAAACTTAAACAGTTATACTAAAACACTTATTTTCTAAATAAAGAGATAAAATAATTTTCCGTATTAAATAAAAATTTTAAATGAAACTAAATTCTAGCAAATAAATTCCATCATTTATGAATAAAATGAAATCACTGAGAATCACCTACATATTTGCTTTGATTAAAGGCTATTGATTTTTTTAAGTTTAATTTTTTTAATGTATTTTTAATTTTTTTGCCAATTGTAATAGTACAATTGAATCAATAGTACGTTATGGATTGATAAAAACTCAAATTGAACTCAAGTTGTGGATTAGTATGTAATTTTATTTTTACATTTTTATTTTTGTTTTGATCAAAATATCGTATTTAAAAAGTTAACTGCTATTTTTTATAATGGAAATTTTGTAAATGAAATAAGCATAATAATGAAATTAATGCATAATTGCTTATTTAAAATTAAATTTCTAATTTTTAATAATGTATGGTTATCAATAACTGTATAAGCTTTTGCGATATCTCTTCAATAATTTTTCTTTTAATTTAATTTAACTTTTAACAAATTTAAAGTTTCGAATTAAAACGAAAAAAACAGGGTTAAAATTTTAGTATATTATAATTATTTAATAATGAAAAAAAATTAAAATAGTAATTATAATTTTGAAAAATATAAAGAATATCTCGAAATTATAGTTAACTTAAAAAAAAAATACGTGGAGTAGTTAAATGTGTTTACATGAAAATTAAATGCTTACATGTTCTACTGAAGGAAATTGTCCTTTTTTTATGCAAGTATGGAAAATTATATAAAGAGTAAATAATACATAAAAAATAAATAAAGATTTAACTGTTCATTAAATGCATTCAAATCTCATACGCTTTAAAAAAAAATCAAGAATTAAGCAACTATAAATTACAATAAACGATCTGCGTAAAACAATACAAATTGCTAAATAAAATAAAAAGGCAGATAGTTGTGTACATAATGGAACTTAAAAATTGTAAACTTTAAAATGCAATATGTTAAAAAAGGTACAAAAAGGGAATTAATTGGCTTCTTCAGAAAGGCTCGACGTTCTTTTTCAATTAAACTTTCATGATTGGATATTAAAAAAGTTAATACTTAAGCAATTGTGATATTTTGAATTAGTTTAAAGTTGAATTCTCAAGTTTGACTTATTTTGAATACCAAGTCCAATTAATTTATATGAATATGATTTGGTAGTTTTCTTTTCAATATTTTATACAAAAAATTTGAAAATTTAAAAAATTTTTTTTGTGACTACATAGTTAATTTAAAATTTCTGTACATATTTAAAAAAAAATACATTGTATCTTGCAATATAATAAAGTAACCTAACAAAAACTGGTTTAAAAGACATTTAAATATTTAGGTACATATATGTATCTTTTAAAATTTATATTTTATTAAAAATAGCAAATTATTAATAAAATATTTTACTAATTACTAAAAAAAACAAAATATATTTAATCATGAAAATTTTAATGATTACATACTTATTTAAAACAAAAATAAAAATATCAGTATTTAATAAAATTAAATACTGATGTATTAATATTTATATAATGTAATAAATTGAATTTATAATAATGTAATAAATAACTTATTTAAAACAAAAATAAAAATATTGTTAGGATCAGGATAATAATAATAATTAATCAATGGTTCTTATAATATCAAGAATAAAAAAAATCAGAATTTTAAAATTTCAAATCTTTCAGAATCAGAAAATCGAAATTTCAGAATTATCAAATGTTCAAATTCATAGAAATCATAATGTCCTACACACATTTTATGTATAATATTACAACAAAATCACCAATAGAGTATGTAACAAACAACATAATCAATCGTAAGAAATATTTTTTGCTTCTAGAAAAGTTTCTCTTTTACTATGATTTTGTTAATATCTTTAACTGCATTAAAATAAATATACTTAGTGTATAAAATATAACGAGCATACTTACGTATATTCTGTTAGACGTATCACTTGAGGTGATGGGATATTATTGAAAAGTATTTTGGTTTTCAGTATAAAATTTCAAATGTTGAAATTAGTTTTATTCAGAATATTATAAAATTTTAAAAAACAACCCATCAATTCAAGTGATGTGACATTCTGTTAGTATCTGATTAATTTAAGTTTTAACTAATTTATTTCGATATACTTTTTCAAATCAAATCAAGAATTCCTTTTTTATACCTTTTATTTGGTCTAGAAAAAAAATTTAAATTTTTGCTTTAAATTTTTTCAAACTTTTTGTTTTTTTACAAAATATAATTTAAGGGAAACAGTAAAATTGGTTAAATACAACCTATGTACACAACATACATAAAAAAACCAACAATAAATATGCAACTTTACTACAAAATATACTTACATAATTATAACATAGATATAGACTAAAGTATGTATATAAGAATACACGAAGAGCGGCACTATTTGCAAAAGAAGTGATGAATTTAAAAAATTAAAATTTAATTATCTTAATATTTAATGAAAAGAAAAAAATATTTTCTTTATATAGTAATAACATTTTTTTTTTGTTTTCGTTTTTTAAGTTTTTTTATTTCACGATAATTAAAATATATCTTTAACATTTATGATAAGAGTAAGTACTACACGCATGGTAGTATGGTATGAACATAATACATATGAAATATATGTAATATTACTTGTAAATTATATATAAAAAACAAACGTGTATAAATTCATAATATGTTTAAATATAATTATTATTCTAATATTATGTATATACAATTTTTTTATTTTAAATAGTTATGACTTTTTGTTATTTATACTTTACAAAAGCAAAAACAAAACAAAAAAATATGGAAACAAATAAAATTATAATTGAAAAACATATTTTTTATTTATTCATATTTTTTCTTTTTTTTGGTATTTATAAAGGAGTTGTAAAATATAATATAATTTAGAATGCTTGCCTTTAAAGTGTTTCAGTGAATTTGAATTTTTTTTTAAATTTTTTAATTTGTATCTCTTTTAATAGGTGACATAAATATAATAGTAATAACAAGAAAAATAGCAATTATACTATTAAATATTTATTCTAAATATGATTAGACTTTTAATTGAATTTTCGTTTCACTAATGAAGAAAATTCTTCAATGACACAATTAATAAAAACATAGCACCATTGCAGAGATAGAATATAAAATTTCCGGTTATTTTTTTGAAAATTATTTCAAATTCCTTGCGATTTTCAAATGTTAAATACATGCATGAAATTAAAAAAAAATATATACTTAATTCCCCCACAAGGCAGTCACCTTGTCGTGGTGTGGGGGCTCACGTTGCAGTGATTCAATAATAACATTGATGAGCAACAAACTAAGAACTGCCAACCCCTTAATCCAGTGGTGTTATGCGACCCGTGCCCAGTGGACATGATTGGTAGCGGGGGGATATAATATCGAGCTATCGCAAACGGAGCCTTCCTGATAACCGGGCCACATCAGGAAGTAATTTGGCCTTAACATAATTATAAGATTTGGTTTAGTGGCAAATTTTCTCCTAATATTTCAACAAAAATTAAGGGTAATGAATATGAAACAGTTAGTGTGGAATTTCTTTGCAAATTTAACGCAAAATCTGTCTTGAAAAAGCAAATAAAAAAAAGGTTTTTTCAAAATCGAGAACAAAGAAGAATTTCTACAGTACGGGAAAATTATTTGCAATTTTCAAGATTTATTTATTAATTGTGTTAACCTTCTTTTAATAACCAAAAAAATAACACCAATTGATAGATAATTTAAAAAACAAAACAAGCGATATCTTAGCCGGTGTCTATGTGGATGAAAAAGGTTTTAATGAGTAAAGATAAATGGAATTTTTTTCAACCTTTTGCTGGAAACAAATAATTTGAGTGAGAAAAAATGATGCCATCAGGAAAAGAATAACAAATTTCTTAATTATAAAAAAATATGAAAAGCAAGCAAGTTTAATCCATATTTCAATTAGGCTTTGAAGTAATTTGCTAAGGGTTTCACCACACTTTAACAGTGTTTAAATTTATAAAGAAAATTTGATGTATCTAATGAACATAAACTAAGTGAATCCATAATATTGTTGCTTTTACAAGATTAATAAGAATTCCTTTAAGCTATAATTTGAGAATTCATAAGTCAATTAATCATACTTAGTCGTCACATGAAACACATGGAACAAAGAAAATAATGTGAAGAAATTTAAAAGTGTGATACATATTATTAAATAAAATAAGATTATTATCATCGAAAAAAGACAAATTAAGCTAAAAGGTGAAGCAACAATACTGAAAGGTTATATATCTATTGAAATATTTTGGAAAAAATATGTCCACAAAGTTTAAAAGAAAAATTATGGTGTGGCAAATATACCAATGAAAGTATTTTCAAATAGAGGGAACATTAAAGGACCTCGTGGTAGAAGTAAGATTTTAGAATTAATACTGTTTTTTTCAAGGGGAAGATGGAAGAACTCTCTGTTATTTCAGGTATTTAAAATATAAAAAAAAATAGTTTTTAATAGTAATTTTATTTTAATTTCTAGATATAATAGGAGTTTTAATAGCAGAACAACTAATATCTAACTTGAGAATATTTAGAGTAACATTGTTAAAGTCTCAATTCGTTTTGCCAATATTTATACTTTCATTAAGCCTCTTAAAGTTTTAAAGTCGATGACGAATTGCGGCCAAAAAGAATTGATATTGCTGATTGAATTGTAACGAAAACTGAAAATGAAAAAGAAACAAGTTTGAGGGTAAATTTATTGAAGGATCTTCTTATATTGGAACAGATAGTTCGTTTGAATTGTTCGCTAGGGTAAGATAACATAATTTGAATGTTTATACATGATTACATATTTTTGTTTTTATATAAAGATATAGAAACGTATTTAAAAGGACCAGGCTTGGCTAGTAATATTAATTTTCAACGCAATTTGTCTTTAACAAAACATTAATAGTAAGTAAGTAAATTATAAAATATAACAAAACACTTTAGAGAATAGATTAAACCCTACTTTAACATTATATCATCAGGGTTTTTGCAATTATAAATTATAAAAAATAAAATAAACATTATTAGCCCAAAAATTTATTGATTTCATGTCAGTAATTATTAATTAAAATAAAACATTATATAGTATTATGTTACTAAAATACCCATATTTCAAAGTTATTTACTTTTATTAATATATTATATAAGTATAATCAATGAATTTTAAACGAACTTAAAAAAACAAAACAGAATTTTCAAATGTATATCAATAAAATGTATGTTTCAAATTAAATAATTTTTGCTGAGTTTTTATTTCAAACCACAAGAAAACTTTCGACAGCTATAATTAAATCGTTGGGAACTTCATACCCAAATAATTATGAATTTAGTATGAAATCATTAATTAAATAATGCTTCTTGTCTTAGAATTGACTTATACATGCAATACAGTATCGCCAACATAAAAAAAACAAGCTCTTAAGAAAAAAAACATTTGGAATATATCATTCTGTGTGTTAGCATTCAAGTAGGAGAAGGAGAATATTGAAGATCGTTAACTATAAAAACTTGTTTAAAAACTAAAATAGTAAAGCAGAACAAAATTAAAGCTTTTGGAAGAAATTTCGAACGAATTTGTTAATTTGGTTAATTTATTTATTTCGACATTTTATATATAAGCAGATATTGCATATTAAAAGCTTTTGCAGGATTCTATATTAATATAAAATTTAGTAAAATAATAAATTTATAGCATTAAAATCAAAAACGTAAGTATTTTCTCTTACCTATTTTAAATTAGGCTGTTTGCATTCTTCTTATTTATTAATTCAGCTGACCTATTCTTATTCTAAATTTAAGTAACTTCCCATAACCACTGATTTTGAAAAATACCGATTTTTTATTCTCATGGAAAAAATTAATGTTTATAAAAGAAAATATGTATGAGTTTAGTTACATATTTTATCAACCTCCACACATATTATGTATGTACAATAAGTGCTTATTAAACGGTACGAAGAATGGTAACATTGCAGTATGAAAAATTTTACGTTGCATAATTTAATTTTTTTAGCAAACGTTCTCGACTATATTTAACGTAATATTAATTCGGACCAAATCAATGTTTATAAGTTCTGAACTTTCGAGAATTTTAAGTTCTAATACTGAATTAAAGTTGTCATTATTCTTTTTTTCTTACATATGAAAATTAAAATTATGGAATTTAATTTTCATGAATGAAAATTACGAATTTCAATATTTTGTTGAAGAAAGTAGAGATGTGAGTTTGTAAAAACGATCGCTACTCTTCATCTTGTGTGATAGTTCTATATTTTCAAAAGTATAGCTTTACAGTTTAAGCAGTTCTTATTAAACATGCACAGTGCAATTCTAAGTTGGAACCTATAGTGGAACAAATTCGGTATTCACTGAAAAAAAATATTTAATTTACTATGGATATTAAATTTTTTTCAACCAACCAGTTAAAACACTGAAAAATCAATGGAATAATAAAAAACACTGTTTACTATTGAAATTTTTATATTTAAGCTTTTTTTTTATATTTTTGATATAAATTAAATATAACAATATTTCTTTTTTTTTTTGATAACTATATTAATTAAAATAGTTAACTAACAACCTAAGAACAAGTTAAGAAAGAATGATAAAGAAACTGAATTATATTATTATGGCAATATTATTTGTTTTTGAAAATTACACAAAAATTAAACATAAATTAAAATAAAAAGAATTTATAAGTTATTCATGTTCTAATTCAGATACATTTTCAATTGAAGAAGGTACATATAAAAAAGGAAATAAAATTCAAATTAATTAAATTCAGTCATATTATACATAATTAATAATAATTTTCTATATTTGTTGAAAATCTTCAAAACAAAACTACCTAAAATTCTAGAAATGTAATTTTTAATTTTCCAATGCGTTTCTTAACAAACTTTCTTGCATTTTTTTATTTTTATTATCAGCTAACCTTTGTAGTAAAGTTATACGTTTTCCACTTACAAGTAATGAATTTTGTTGATGTAATGTTGAATCAGTTTTTACGGAATCGTTCTCTTGTTGTTCAAGAACTGCAGCTAAATTAATTTTTTTAACAGGTTCAGAAAGATCATTTTTCATTAAATATTCTTGAAACTCTTTATCGCTCGGACATTTAATTACATATTTTTCCTCACAATTTTGTTGTATTTCAGAGATTCTGTTTTGATTTAAATTTAAGATAGGTTTTATTTCATTTGGCACATTTTTAATCATTTCTTTATTATTATTTATTTGTCCCCCTACAAAATTATTAACCAAAGCATTTTCTAGAGATTTCTCTGGTTTTAAATTTTCGGTTACCGTTCCGTTCACGTTAACTTCTATTTTATTTGAAAGACCGCCAGCAGTCGAAAGAGATGAATCTGACATAGAAGCTAAGTCTGCGAAGTCAGTTAACTTACGTTTTTTATTAAAAAGTCTTATGACGGAATCATCTGAGGTTCGCCTTACATGCTTTACTTTTTTCAAATCTTCAAAACTCTTAAACAAATTTGTAAAATTAGGTGACGTTTTATCTATTCCGTTACTGATATTCAATATTTTACTTTTTGGATCAATTTCTAAAGACGACTGAGTACTTTGCTCTTTTTTAAGTTGATTCATACTTGGTGAATACTTTGTATTTAATATGCAAGGATCCGCAGTGTTATTCAAATAAGTGTTTTTGTTCTCCAAAGTTGAGGATTGAGAACTTGTCTATAAAAATATATAAAAATGTTTTTAAGTAAAGTTCTTTGTCAACTAAATATTTATTACTTACATTTGCTACACTCTTGGACACCAATTTTCGTCTTTCATCATCCGTTGAACTCGTTTTATTTATTACATTGTTCACATTATTTGATGAACTACTACTGATTGTACTATTTGAAGAGCTGCTTTCTCTACTGCTATCGTCTAAATTTACTATTATATTTCGGCGTTTTCCAGTCGCTTTACCAAAACTAAATGACTCCCTTTCAATACAGAGCATATCTTTTTTGAGAAAGTTAGACAAATCATATACAAAGTCTTTTTTAACAGGTTTCACACGATTTCGAATAGGTCTTTTCAAAGTTGGACTTGCACTAGAAGTATTAATTGTTAAACCAGTTCGATCTTCATTTGATGATATTGACAAAATAGAATCGGAACGTTTGATGCTGCCTGGTATTTTATCTACTCCATCCTCTTCTTCATTATTTTTTTCCAAACATTTTTCAGAGTTTTCTACGTTGCTAATCTTATCGTTTTCTGTTGTATTAGCGGATTCATTAGAATTAATTATCACGTTTGGATATAGTTTCCCAACATTCGTTTCTTCAATAGGAACTATTTTCAAATCAATTTCAATAGTGTCACCTGGAGCTGGATTAATAACATCTACGGGTGATTGAATGTTTTCTAATGGGATACTATTTTCGACAGGAGCACGCATATTTTTAATAACGTAAGGCTCTTTTGGCTTACGTCCTTTTTTCCCAGATGAATTTTTTGCGATATAATTTTCGTCTTTATTCAAATGATGCATTTTATTTTTTACCATATTGGCTTTAGCTATATCTGCTTTAATATTTTCAATATCTTCCTCTTTTTCACCTTTAAATTCCCCGTTATCAGAAATTATAATATCTCCATCGACATCGTCTTTACCGTAATTATCTTCCGCCACTAAAATTTGATCTAAATTTTGTTCTCCTGTAAGAGAATGTGCAGAATTCAAATGATTAACAACATCATATTTCCGAAAAGCTCTATAAGGACATATATGGCACCCAAATTTACGACGTCTGTAATGAAACATTGAAATGTGACGCCTTAAATTGCTTAGGGCGCTAAAAGCCTTTTTGCAAATTCGACAGTAAAAAATTAAATCTTTGCGTGGAGTGACTAGTTTTAAAAATTTTTCCCTGTTAAAATCCCGCTTTTTGAAAACAACTGAAGAGCTAGGTGCATTTTTTTCTTGTTGTTTCATTTGGATTATACTTTTCTCAATAGTTTCAGGAATTAAAATATCTTTTGTTTCCAGATTTCCATTTACTTGAATTTCTTTGATTGTATTTAAATCAGGAATTTGCTTTGATTTTTTTATGACGTTTTTTTGATCAAGTTTTGTATTTTTTAAGTCCGATATAACACTTTCAATATTCTGATCTTCTTTGATTGACTTTAAAACTAGTTCACTTTTTCTAATTATAATTGTTTCTGGTTTACGACGTTTTCTTTTATTGATGCTTTCAGCTACACTTTCCTCAATTCTTGGTTTACTAGCTTCAATTATTTTGTTGCTGGAATTGAAACCGATTTTAGTTTCATCAGATTTAATTGGTTCAAAAGTGGCATTGGCAATTGATTTAGCAGCAAAAGCTAACAGAGAACTTGTTGCACTTGTATTGGAACTAACTGGATTGCCATTTGTTATACTATTATTATTTGCAGGCGATGATGTTGAACTACGTGAAGTTGAAGAGTTTTCTCTTGAAAAAGTTAATTCATTTAGTTTTTTACTTATAAGTGTAGGAGTTTGTCGATGTTTAGCTGTACAAGTTTGTAAATGTGTAGTTAATACAGCCCGTCTTTCAAATTTTTTCCCACAATAGTTACACAAAGGAGAATTTCTTGGTGAGCGATCAATGTTATCTATCCAAGCCCGAGGGTTCTCAGCATCAATATTATCTATTTGATTTCCTTGAAGACGAGCTAATTCACGACTAGGGCCTTTTACTTGTACTTCATCAATTCTCATGCGTCTTTTGAAAATCGTTTCTCTCATTTGACGTATACGTCGTAATGATTTTCTAAAACAAAAAAAAAAAATCAAATTTAGTTAACAATGTAAAAAAAAATTGAAGCTCTGAAATCTTTTAACTTACTTGTGATCATTACTCAAATGTCTTATAACTTCTGATGGTTTTAAAAATGTTTGAGAACAGGATGGACATTGATATACATAAGTAGAAAGTATATGTTTTGTTTGAATGTGAAGTTTTAAAGTTTTTTCGGTTGAAAATTTTAGTTTACCTATAAATAAATGATAAAAGAAAAATAATACTTTAGAATTTCCAATCCCAATAATTTCTAAATTATATAACTAACATATTTCACATATTATATTTTTTTCATTCAAATTATTTTCAATTCCTTTGGCAATTTTCGTTTCATTTGTTGTGCTATTTGTTATATTACAATGATTTTCATCATTACAATTGTAATTGTCTGTATCCAAAAGTTTTCCATCAGGTCCCAAAATAGTTTTGCAATTTACAATGTCATTTATTTCAAGTATTTCCTTTTTAATATTATCACAATCCTCTTTTTTAACAGTTTGATAAACAGCTACATTACTATTTGGTATACCATCCAATTGTAATATATGATTTTTCTTTAATATTTCTTCTTGTGTTAATTTTAAATCAACTTGTTCATAAAAATCAGATAATCTAAGTGTACGATTTTTTTGCTCACGATTAATTAAACGTTCTATAATACTAGTTAAGTCTTTATTTGATTTTTCTATGTTATTGTTATTGTTATTATTGTTTGAGGTTTGTTGGTTATTATTGTTATTGTTATTATTATTACTATTAATATTGGTTGATGATATAATATTCTTTTTTGAAGTTTTATGATTATTATTGGACTTATAAGAATTTGTGTATTCTTCTTCAGCTTGTATTATTGTTGAGATGTCTTGATCCTAAAATGAATAAAGTAAAAACATAAAAAAAAACAAAATTATACACATATTTTGCTGCTATTTAATAAGTTTTGAATTGTTTTACTACAAAATATGCATTTTCCTTTAGTAAATCGTAAAATACATTTTGGGAAGGAGGATACATTATTGGGAAATACATTTCTTAAGGAATTAGATTATTCTTTTTTCATATAAAATATTATTCTAAATGTAAACCAATAGACTATAGAGCAACTAATATTGCATGTATTTTAACATTATTGTTCTAACTTATACAAAACTTCGAGAGCTTGTCTAAAAAAATTTATTTTTTAAAATTGAATTTGCATATAAGCAAAAGTATTTTATTTTTTTCAAAAAGTATTTATGAATGATCTCATGTAAATCTTAAAATTTTATTCTATTTTCAGTAAATTAATCTGCTTTGTTTGCAAAGTAGCTTAATTTATTATAAGAATTTTTACGTATATAAATTATTTAAATAAATTTATTTATACTAAATTAATTTTACTTACTATAAAACCATTTCTATTTATGTCAAAAGTATTATTATAAAAATCACGGCAATACACTCTTTTATGGCTAATGAAATTTGTTAAACTTCGAAAAACATTGCGGCAAGTCTTACATTCATATAAAATGTCACATTCACGACTCAATAGTCTTCTTATCTACAAAATAATGAAAAAAAAATCAATTTAAAAAATGCTTCTATTATTTTTTATTAAATTTTTTAAAAATCTAGTAAAAATTGAAAATATTTACTTCTTCTGTTCCATTCTCGAAAGCACGTTTAGCCTCTAAGAAACCAGTTATCGATGTTAAAATTGGTTTTCTAAGTATACTTAAATCTTGCTGTTTTTTTGATGAATTTTCATTATCCGAACTGTAGCCAGATGTACGATTTTTCATTTTGTATATTTTTTTATTAATTCTTTTTTTTTTAGTAGATTATTTTAAAAAATTATTGTTTTTGTTTTGTGTCTTCAAATCAAACAATTGAATAATAATTATTAAGCGTTTTTGGTAATGTTTTGTGTAAAATTAATAAAAATTTTTTAAAATTATAATTTAAATTATGGAAAAATCTTTGTTGTCTATGACAGTATAGAAATTTATTTCTATTTTCTAATTTTCGCTTTTATTCAAATATGAAATTATTGCAGGTATTTAAAAATTTTTTTTTATTTATTTATTATATTTTTATTTTATAAATTTTCAATTATTTTTTCAGTTTTCTTAATATTTTCTTATGATTGTATTTGTCGGAATACTAATAGTATTTATTTGGAGAACAGCGGCAATATTGTTGAATACTGGAAATGCCATTTTGATTTAAAAATCTAAAATGAAAAAAAAAAGAAAATATTAATTAATTTTAACAATTTAAAATTATTCATGAATATTTATGTAAGTTATGTATGTATATGTAAGCAGGCCCTTAATTTATAAAAGTTATAAAGAAAGAATTTAAAATTATTTTTATTAATAAATTTTGAATTTGAAAAATATTTCTGTCCCATGAAATTCATTTTCATTATTAATTTTATTATTAATTATATTAACCATAAAAGCAAATAATATGTTAAAGTAAAATTGTGAGATCTATATTCAATATTTGCTTATTTTATAATTAATCTAAACGCTAAAGTAATGCACACAATTTCAAAAGTCTTGTTCGAACAGTGAAAATTTTACAATATGTTGAAAATGATAGTGTTTAGGAAAAATGTTTCGGAATTTAAAATACTTACTAATATTTTATTGTTGTGACCCCGAAAATGCAGTTTCAATAACTTGAAAGGTAATTTAGTAATGCAAACCATATATCGAAAACTATTGACTTTTTCGAAGCTTAACGGTTTTTATTGTACTGAAATAAATACAATGAAAAGCAGAGTATGCAGCGGTGTAAAATTGAAACTATACGTTTTATGAATTCAAGTTCATATCTTAATTAGTTTTTCGACCAATATGTGGAAGAACTGATGTATGTTAATCAACTTAAAAATAATCATATAGTCTTTAAAAAATTGAGTTGGTGTAAAGTAAAATAATTAATTTTCCCTTGTACAAACCACATAAGCAATATAATTTTGATAATGTTTTACCATACTTAGGGTATACGAAATGGTGCTACTTAATTTTAAAAACAATGCATTTATTATTAATAATAAAATTTCTAAGATCCTTTCTGGTTTTCAAACATCGCAATTTATTACTTCACAAAGTATTAAAAGGTTAGTAAGTATTAATTATTATTTTTTTTTATAATCTTTATTGAATTTGTTAATAAAAAAATTCAATTTGAAAGAAACTCATAAGTTACAAACAAGGGGCTCATAAAACTACAAACAAATTTTAACTGGCTGGATTATAATGTCATTTTTTTTTAACGAAAAAATCCTAAAATTTTCACACTTTTTATTCTTCTTTTTAAAACTTTATATTTTATTTCGATTTATAAAAAAAAAAATTCATTTAACAGCCATACATAAATATAATTTTTGACATAATTTATATTGGTGTTAAAAAGATGAAAAAGGATTTATGAAATTGATTTCGTTTTAATAAATTAAATTTAGGTTAAAAAATTTATGAAATGTGAATTGAAATATATGAAAAAGGAAATTTATAATTAAATCCTATAACTAAGAAAAAAACTCTCTCACCCCTTAAAAGATATGAATACTCGTAAATAAAAAATTTTTTATGAAAATTCTCATGCGTGACATTTGTAACATATGAAAAATGTAGTTTGAAAAAATTAGAGTGTAAACACTATAAAAAGTAAATATAAAATATCTGAAGAAGCAAATAAAATCATTCTAATTAATAAAATTATTAATATAGATTATCTTAAGTGTTTTAGAAAATTTTACGAAAATAGCTATGACAAAATAGTAGTTGTAATATTTTGTACTTTAATAAAATTATAACAGATTTTCATTAAATATTTATGAGAATTATTATATAACACAAAATTAAATGAAATTATATTTAATATATTCAAAATTTTCGGGATTATTTATGAGCTTTATTAAAATATGATTTTTCTCTTCAAATAATCGAAATAAGATGAGCATTGTGAAGTTTACAAATGTGAGAGATACCCGAATTAATTTTACATAATATTCTTTGGTTATATAGTAGTTTATTTAAAGCAGAGGTTCCCAAACGTTTTCCTCTCGTAGACCCCTTGTCGCGTGTTTTAATTTTTCATAGACCCCCTGCTATTTTCTTTGATAGATTTAAATTTCTAACAGTAGCAAGGTACACTTATGATGTGAGAAAATTAAATAAAAAACTTATTTACATGAGCAAAACTAAACAAAAAATAATTCAATCTTATACATACATCACTTGCTTTTTATGTCAATATTATTACATATTTATAAAAAATAAAAATAACTTAATAGAATGGATGAATTTGACGGTTTGATAATAATTTATCAACGTTTGGCATTAATTTATTTCGTTTTAACCTTAAATCTTATTTGCTATTTTGTTATTAGATTTATAACTACGCTTAAATCTTTTCTACAACGTATGAAAATGAGAAAGACGCCCATTTCGTAGACCTCCATTTTCATTTGATAGACTCCCAATTTTTTTTTTCACCTTCGTAGACCCCTAGCAGATCTTCATATAAACTAAACACTAATATTTTTGCTTTTCGTACATAGGGGGTCGGGACCCTTTAAGTCTTTTCACGGATGTTTTGCACTTCTCATTCCCTCTTAACACTACCGCTATACTAAACATTCTAACAAGCTGCAATATTGCAGTTATCTTCAGTCTTTAGACTTACTTCAAGCATTTATATTATTATATAATAACAATTGTTTTGAAAAATCAAAAAAAAAGAAGCATCTAATTAATTTATTCGTGAAAATTAATTCGAAAACTGTCAAATACGAGAGTATTCTATTAAATTATTAGACATTAATGAAATGTTATACGCACCTATTTAAATATAAATGACAGACATATAAAATGACAGATTTTTCAAATTAATTATTGTAATTAAATTAACAAATTTCTAAATTAAAGTAAAAATTTCTCTCTTTTTTTTTTCAATTTAAATTAATTAATTATTCGCGAAACTTTACAAGTTTTTTTTTTTAAATGAATCCTAATCCCCTTTTATTAATTCTGTGTATGCAATATTTTTTGATTTTTTTATGTTAATTAGTTTGAATTTAAAAAAAAAAAAACTAATTAGTTAAAACTTTGCTTTTTTTTGTGAGAATTGTAAAATTTTAACGTAATTATGACAATAATTATTCAACGTATATAATATGCATGAGTAGGCACATTACATGTACATTATGTCATTAAATTTAATTAATATAAATGAAAAATAATTTATAAGTGTTATTTAAGATTATTCTTAAGACCAAGCAAAAGATTCTTAGAATTTCCAAGAGCGTATCAACTGAATTCTGTAGAAATTCCGTGATTTCAATAACGATTTATAAAAAAGTTTAAGTACGGTGTTAATACGATTGTAATACCGTCTCAGAGCTTTCAATACCTTTACATTGAAAAAAAAATGCTAAAGCTTTTGATACATTTTGGAATACAATTTTTACAATATTAATACATACTTTGACGTTTGTCAAATCTGAAAATAAATGCTAGTTTATTTAATTGGTAATTTCTGGCAACATTTATATGACATATATAAGAGAAACGTTGCTCGATTTTTTCGATACCCAATTTACTTTTATTTTACGTATCCGCTACGTATAGAACGCATTTTGGAAATGTCAAGAGCTTTTACTAAACTTTTTGGAATGTGATACTTTGTAAAGTTTACATCGTAAGCGCATTATTGAAGTCACGGATTCTTAGAGTTCAATTAATCCGCTTTTATGAATATTTGAAGAAACTCTATACATGTGTAGCATGTAATTTGGACAGCTCTAATTTCAATAAATATCAAATTTTGTTCGCATATATAACGTTTTGGTAACAACCACAACTGCTTGCAATCCAATATTTGAGTTTTTCATGTTTGATATTCAAATATTGAAATTTGGTTTATTGGAAACATTTCAATATTCGATTGTGCCTTCAATATTTTTAATCCTTAATTTAATTAAAATTGTGGTAGGACAGAAATTATACAAGTTTTTTTTTTCAATTTAAACAAAATTTTTTTTTTGATAAATTTTCCCAATATTATAAAATTGTTCAATAATAAAAGTTATTTTTGATGACTGGTTTTCGTCATAAGAAAAAAACTAAGAAAAAAAAATTAATTGTCAATTAAAATAGACTGTTAAAAAAGTTAACTAATAAAATTGGGTGCTTATGTTGCATAAAAATAATCAAAAAATAAACCGAAAGAGAAAAAGAACATTTGCAATTTTTTGGAAATTCCATTAGATTTAATCCCACACTGACAAAAGCCTGTCACCCGTATTACAAAAGTTTATACATTTTTTTTTTTGTGTGAAAATAAATTGATTTTTTTTTTTTTGAATTTAATGTCATTGCATAATTTTTATCCTTATTTTATAATATTGTTGTCGTCGTCAGCGAATAAAAATAAAATCACTATTGAAAAACAGACTTTTTATAAATTTTCTTGTAAAATGATAAAATAGGCGAAAATTTTAATTTTATTAAGTTTGGTTTACTTTTTTTTTGGCATAGCTCCAGAATTTCATATTGAAAATGAAAAATCCCTGATCTACATTTTACATATTCTTTCGCTTCAAAATCAATAGATCCATATAATATATCCACATATATATAATAGATATATATATATATATATATATAATTTTAGCAGTGTTATTTAACTGTTTTTGTGTACAGATGTAATATTAATAATTATATTAAGATCCAGATTTGAAAAAACTTATAGTGAACACCCTAAAACATTATATTCAAACTTTTATAATGTGGAAGATTGAAAGAAAAACGCTATGAAATTGTAGCCCCAGTTATGTACATATGTGTATGCTTTACTTAAATTTTACTTCATTAATAACTGAAATTGTATGCATTTATTATGTATCTGAAATTAAAAAGAAATAAAACTAGACTGCAGAGCTACTAAGTGTCATGCAAATGATATGCTAATGAAATAGTTAATTAAAATCATATGAATTTTGTGCGATTTTCAAAAACCTTAGAATTTTATAAATTTTACTTTAATATTCCAGAAACAATATTAATTGCAATTCATTTCACAGAACTATAGGATTGATTTAATATTAAAACATTTGTAGTGTTTGCTTGAAATTGCATAATATTGCAGAATTTTAAGGAATAAACGTACATATAATGTTAAGAAATTGAAAAATTGAAAAAAGAAAACGTTTAACTT